GGTCGAAAAGCTAGCTGTTAGGCGTAAATATTGACAAATTTGATCCCTTAGTTGTAGAAAAAATTAACTTTAAAAATCTTTCCCTCCTACAGTGTGTTATTTTGTGTTATTCTGGGTTAGCTGCAGCAGAAAAATGGCCACAGTTTTAACCATTAGCCGTAAAAAGTTCTTATCGGTCGGCCCTCAGTTTTTAAGAAAGTTTCGGTTTTTTTAACAGACTGTTTCGGTTAAGTTTGCAATCGTGGAAAAAAATCATAAATATTTTCAACACAGGGAAAACAACACCGACCCAGGGTACCTCCCATGATGAGGACGCTTTCTATAAACAGAATAAGGCACCATCTCCCAAAGTGAAAGGTAATTTCTTTTTTCTTGCCTCTTCAACAATATATATGACTGAACATCATGTCGCTTTACATGCTAAAAAAACGCGTCGCGTGACATCCTAAGGAACGGCTGCCAATGAAACTGGCAGATATAAAATCTGAAAATATCGAAGTTTATATCTCATTTAATAACTCTATCCAAGAAAATGGGCAAAAGTTGAGCGAATAAGGCATAGGTGCGCTCACTTCTCCAAAAGAAAAGATGTGACAGAACATCATATCTGTCACATAACGTACTAAAGAAGTGCGTCGCGTGACATCCTGACAAACGGTTGCCATTGATCGATATTAGTAGTTATAGAGTCAGAAAATATCGAAGTTTATCTCTCATTCAGTAAACCTATTCAAAGAAATGGGCAAAAGTTGTAAAGCGAATACTAACTCAAACGGCAAGAAATGGCTTATGCAGGTTGATGCAGAAATTTTCTGTTACTGATTTCCTCTTCCATTCAAACAAAATACCAAGCGACTTGTTTCATTGTTTGACATTTAAATGTTAGTTTATTGTACCTAAATAGTAAGTAAACAATCTAATCGGAGAAACTAAATAAAACATTTGGCTCCAACTTTCTAGCTCGTTCTGAGCTTCCACCGATTCTTTGTAAGCCATAACTAAAATTATAAAGTAGAACTTCTCGTTTTGCCTTTGGACGATTAGTTCAAACAATATACTTAAAATGCATCGTTCTGCTTGTAAAAAATTACACAATTTATCGCATTCAAAATTAAGAGAGAAATGTCAGAAAATTAACTAATACCAAGTCTAAACCCTTGCCATTACGGCCAAAATCTGTCATTTTAAGTCCAGATAAACCGAATTCTGATCGGCAGAAATTAACTTTAAGTACCATTGACTGAGTATAAATCCTCCAAAAAGTTCATCACAATTTCCATCTGACATAGACTAAGATAATCGAGCAATCGGACAACTGATTATTCTCCAATTCCAATGGAAATTCTCTACACACGCCCATGGCTGTAATAGCTTTATATAACTCATGAGACTAAACTGATTGAGAAAAAACTCTGTAAAAAAAACTCTGGAAAACGTTTTCAAGACGTTTCAACTTCGACGTAAATGTAACGCCCAAATCCTCTCAGTACAAAATACTTAGATTAAAAGTAACTTCTCACACAGCTGGTCATGATAATTTTGAGACATCATATGAAAAAAAAAAACAAAAAAAACAAACAGTAATTTAAGAAGGATATCAAAGATTAAGCCCGTAAAAGCAGTTCAGACAAGCAAAAAGGCAACTCTTGAATCAATGGAAATCTGTTCTCTTGTTAAACTTGACTTTGGCCGTCTTTTGGTTCTTCCTGCTTTGAAAAGAAGACTTGACAAAGCTTTCATCGGTAGCTTACTGGTTTCTGGTCCAAATATCAGCATTTGTAGGTATCCGAAAACTACCTGGGATTCCAATGCTCACTTCCTTAACTGAAAAATAAAAGAATCTAAGTTTAGGGAAGATAGTTGAGTTGCCATGAAATATTTCTTAGCACATGAAGCGATACATTGCACAACAGGATTGTTTTAAAAGAAATTTCATTCCTATCATGTTTCCAAAAAAGAATGTTATCATCGTAAATGCGTCCACTTGATTGTACTACATATCAGTTTCCGGAGAGAAAAATAAAGTCGTCACCCAAATGAAAGGAAAATAACACGCAAGTATCACTGCTCACATAGGAACAAAGATTATGATTTAATGTAACTTTGTATTGAATAGAATGTATCAACAGAATT